GGGAAACTGAGTAGCACGCAGTACTGCCCAAGTGTCATCACGAGACTCTGCGTCTAAAAATAGCGATATCTCTTTAAAAATCCAGACTTGGTTCAATAGCTAGAGGATAGGTTTGAAGTCCAAGTACGCTCTGTACACTTTTATAAAAGACTGAACTTAATCCTTGTAAAAACACCAACGGCAGATATTGTCAATCTTTGATGTATTTCTGGAACTTAATTAATTAGCATCTGACCATACAAATTTTCTGTATTTCTTCTCTCTATTATTTGTGTTGTATTATTAAACCATTTTAACTTTATATTTCCCTTGTCTGAGTATAATTTATCGAAATAGGAACTGACCCGAGTTGACCCCTTCGCTCTTCTGGTATGATCTTCCATTGTCATGACCCAGTGTACCAGCCATTCATAAGGGAATAAGCCTTCAATTTATGATAACTGAAGCCGGGCCTTGTGAATATGTGAAGCTAAATTACCTTTAATTTATTTGGCAACGCTACCTTACGCTACCTTTTCGAGACGTCGCTCATATTCACTAAAGTAGAATTCGTGCTACTGTTTAACCCTCAGTAGCACAAGGTACATTAACCGAAGGGGTGTTTGGGGGATTGCTTCCTTGCAGAGTTCCTCCTTGCTCCCCAACGGAATTTTGTTACAGTATTGTAACATGAAAACGGCTGTTTTGTAGAACACATCTCAGTATTCGTTCGAGGAAAAAATACAACAAGAGTTGTCGGAGCCATCTCGATGCTGGGAAAATAATAATATTTAAAGGTGTGTTTTGGAGCAATAGATTGGCGAACAAGCAAAAAAGCAATTTCAAAGACTTTGACATTGTTTTAATGAAAACTTGAAGTATACATGAGGGCACGACGTACGTGTTATTATTTATTTCGGAAACTCAATTTTTAATTGAAGGAATTAAGCTAAATTAAATAATCATGTTTGTTTATTTTGAACCTTAGAAATGACTACTGTTCAACTTGGGACGTTTAATTGTACTTAGCGTATGTTACTATGACAATCAACCGAATTCGAAAAAAAAAACAGTCGACAATGACTAAATGCATGGCCACAGCTAAATTGCTGTTTAATTGATATAAAAAAATCAAAGAAAACAGAGAAGGAAGAGAAACACGAGCGATGTAGTCGAACGACAGGCATTACGGCAGCCATGTTTGTTTCATCTCGAGCAATACAATAATACCCACGATGCACTATTCCCATAAGCGGGGGTATGTGGAAGTTCATAGCCAAGCGTACAGCGGTCAAGAACAAGGTAAGGAATTACGTGACGAGACCATCTCAATTTGCCGTCGATTTCCGGGTTCGGGTGCGTTTCATACAAGAAGATCTATACGCACTATACCGCCGAGTGTAGCAGACATAATCCCGATGGCAATAGGAAGCTCGAAGGACGCTAATACAGTTGATTTATAACAGACGAAGTAAATGGAAATCACTTCAGTCGCAGACACAAACGTATTTAAATGAGTTGGTAAACAAGAGACGATGGCAACTCCATGTTGTGCAGATTTACACACTACTAAAGTTCGACTAATGTTTACAAACACCACGGTCAGTCACACAAAGCCCCCCCCCCCCAATCCAACGGGATTTTTAAATGCATTAGGGAACACGAGACGAACAATTAATTGTGCATACTCCACGTTATGACCAGCGTGAAAATGGCAATTTAAACTTTGCTTGAAGATTTTCCCGGGCAGATTTACGTAATACTACAGTTCGGTAACACGGCCAGTCACACAAAATCCATCAAAAGGGAACTGCAAGTCGTATAATGCCAAAACAGTACTATGATTTCACAACTTACGTTCGCTTTTATTGATGTCCTCTGTACACCAGTAAATGTCTTTCCGTGCGCAAGAACACAAAGCCTAAACTATCAGAAATTCATTCGAGTGATGGTATAACAAAATAACTCGTCACTTCAATTTAAATTCAATTTATCGAAAAAACTATAAGAAACATTTTCATAAACAATTTTTATTATATAAAAACACTTTGAAAAGAAACAAGATTCATAAACATAAATCTATTTGAATACATTTAATGGCGTTTCTTCACACCACAAACTATTGGAATCATGCACACGTGTGAGTACTTCGGTTACACATTTTATAGCTACGCCCAAAATAGTCCATCATTTATTGCGCAACTGTGACCAAATGACATCATTCTGTTAACATCAACACATTTTCATAAAATCTCCATGCACTGTTTGACCTTTCATAAGTGAAATACACTAC